TTTTCAGGATCCCCCACTATTTTTTCCCGGATTCTCACCGAGGATTTAAAAGATATTGTCTTGCCTAGTTCGTCTGTCCTAGTTCAATATGTGGATGATTTGTTAATTGCTGCCTCTGATTATAATGCATGTTTAATTGACTCTGTTGTTTTGCTTACTGCCCTAGCCAATAAGGGTCATCGTGCATCTCCATCCAAATTGCAGCTGTTTAAAGATCAGGTAATTTATTTAGGCTTTGTGATTCGGCCCGGAGAGCGTTTGCTCTCTCCTGACAGGGTGCAGGCAATTTGGGATTGCCCGTGCCCGGTTACAAAAAAGCAGTTACGGGCTTTCCTGGGGGCTGTGGGGTTCTGTCAACCCTGGATAGTGGCCTTTGGGGAACTGGTCAAACCCCTAGTCCAGGCCACCACAACATCGACCCCCGATCCTGCCTCCTGGACCCTGGAAATGGAAGCTGCTTTTGAATCCACCAAGAAGGCTCTGATCTCTGTGCCCGCCTTGGGATTCCCAGATTACGGTAAACCATTTTCTCTTTTCACTCACGAACACCAGGGGGTGGCCAGTGGCATCCTTTTGCAATACCTGGGGGATTGCCCACGCTCCACAGCCTATTACTCAGTGCAGCTGGACCCTGTCATTCGGGGCTCTGTCTCCTGTGTACGATCCAGTGCCGCTGCCGCTGTCATGGTTGAACAGTCACGACCTATTGTTTTGGGGCACCCTCTGATTGTCTGGGTCCCTCACGAGATTGAGGTTCTCTTAAAACAATATTTTACACAGGCATTGTCTCCACAGCGGGCTCCTAAATATGAACTAATCCTGTTGGCTGCTGACGTTACTTTACGCCGCTGCAACGTCCTCAATCCAGCCACGATGCTGCCCCTCCCGGAGGACAGTACCCCTCACCATGTTTGTATGGATGTCGTCGCGCAGGATGGTAAGCCTCGCCCGGATTTAGCTGACTCCCCTTTAACCAAGCCCGACTTACTCCTTTTCACCGATGGGTCCTCGTACTATTTAGATGGCCACCGGGTCTCGGGCTATTCAGTTACCTCTCAGGCAGACATTATCGAGGCTGCCCCCGTACCACCTTTCTTCAGCGCCCAGGGTGCAGTTATACGCGCTTACCAGGGCTTGTTTGTTGTATTTGGGAAGGACTGTTACTATTTACACGGACTCTAAGTACGCTTTTGGTGTTTGTCATGCTATGGGCCAGCTCTGGAAACAACGAGGATTTTTAACCTCCTCAGGCACAAAAATCACTAATGGCCCTCTAATTTCTGCCCTTTTGGATGCCATTCAGTCCCCTCGCCAGGTGGCAGTGGTTCACTGTTATGCGCATAGGCAGCCTAACACTTTTGTATCCCAGGGCAAAGCATTAGCTGACTCAACCGCGAAGGCTGCAGCTCTACAGCCCCTCCTGGTTTCGTCTTCCCTCCCCCGGATACGCCCTTCCCGCCTGCTGACTGGATGCTGTTATATACTGACGTATCCTCGGAGGAGCTTCGAGACTGGAAACGCTGGGAAGGCTCTGAGGGCCCTGATTAGGTTTGGCGAATCGGGAACAAACCTATTCTCCCCCGTCGTTATCTACTCCCTTATCTACGCTGCTTATTCTACCTTATTCTCCCCCTTATCCGTTATCTACGCTGCTTATTATTTTCATTCCTTGGGTCACGCTGGTATCTAGGGCACAGCAGCTGCTATACTAAAATCTTGGGCGGTGCCCCATGTTTATCCAGCGGTGAAGCGGGCTCTCGGCTCCTGCCCTACTTGCCTGGCCTTCTCTGCTAAGACTCGGCTTGATGCCGACTTGAAGGGGGGAGACCCTGGGCAAACTTCCCGTTTCAACGCTTGCAGATGGACTATGCAGAAATGTCTAAAAGCTCAGGGTTTCACCACCTCCTTGTCATAGTGGATCAACTTTCCGGATGGCCTGAAGCAATACCAACCAGAAAGGCAGACGCAAGATCTGTGGTAAAGTTTTTAATGAAAGACATTGTACCCAGGTTTGGTGTCCATGAAGTCATCGATTCAGATCAGGGCTCACACTTTACTGCAAAGATTTTGGAGGAATTGTACCGGTGCTTGGGGATTATCCAACAATTACATACTCCATACCACCCCTAGTCTGCAGGTCAGGTGGAACGCATGAACCGAACAATAAAGACAATGGTAGCTAAGTTCTGTAAGGAGACTGGACTTAAGTGGCCAGATGCCTTGCCTATAGTCTTATGGCACATAAGACGAACCCCACGCATGCCCCTAGGCCTGTCCCTGTTTGAGGTGTTGTTTGGGAGACCAGCTTTAGTCCCGGGAACTTATGTTCCTGCACATGCTAGCCTCTTGGATGGAGATGAAACTTTGGCCAGATATGTTGCCAGACTGCAAAAGGAGCTGACTGACAACCAATCTGAAGCTCAATTGTTTCAAACCGCACCCTTAGGGTTACAGGTTCATTCTTTTAACCCAGGGGACTGGGTAATGGTAAAAAAGATCCCCCGCACTGACCCCCTGGAACCCCAGTGGGAGGGGCTGTACCAGGTTCTGTTATGTACTTATTCTGCTTTAAAAGTTGCCGGTAAAGGTTCCTGGATCCATCATAGCTAGGTTAAGTTGGTGCTGGGACCCCCACCTGACCTTGACAAGCCATCGGACGAGCCACTTCACGAATGAACGCCACTACCAACCCATGGACTGAGCTTTCCAGCTATTGGAACGTTTACAGCCCACCAGGACTTCTTGTGTTCCTGTTTATTGGACTTACATTGGTGGTGTGTTTTTTGTATGATACAGAGGAGGATGCCGACATTGGTATGGTTTGCCTGGGGGGGTCCTCTTCCTATTCCCAAGTCCAGTACAAGGATGGGAGGGCAATAGCTTCTTGAATTTAACCCACTCTATAAAACAGGGTGTGAATTGAACACAGTGTTGGATTTGTATTCATACCTCCACATATTTGGGTCAGGGGGTCCCACTGTTAGGGGTACCTATCCCTCTTAATTGAATACTTCAGGCTAAGCTATGGACAACTACATTTAACTGGAACATTATGATCCAAAGATGGTCTATTGATATGGTGGCCCAGGGGAATTATGCTTTATGTGTGTCACGATGTAAGGGCATGGAAAATAGTTTTTGTGGGGAAGTTTGTGGGGTGCAAGGACACCACCCAGATCAGCTCTGGTGTGGCAGGCCCCTCCACTTACTCCAGGGCCCCCTGGCCAGTCCCTGAGGGGTCTGGCTGGTATTGGTTATGCAATCACACAGCCTATAAGGTTCTCCCGGCAGGATGGTGTGGTACATGTACCTTAGGGGCTAGAGTACCCGCCGTGACAGTACACCAGACCCTGACCCAGGGAGAGATCCGCAATCTAGTATGGAGAAACCGACAAAGTATTCCTTTAAACCGTCTTTCACAACGGCCCACAGGCTTTCACTCCTTTGTGTGCTGGTTTCTGCCATAGCTAGGAGTAAGCAAGCTAGAAAAAGCTATAGTTAACATTTCAGCTGCTTTGGAATTAATGGCAAATGCTACTGCAAATGCCTTATCTACCCTTCAAACTGAAGTAACTCAGTTATCCCAAACTACATTGCAAAACCGCCTAGCACTGGACTATCTCCTCCCAAACCAGGGCGGGGTTTGTGCTCTGGTTAACTCAAGCTGTTGTGTATTTGTAAATCAGCACCACAGGGTGGAAACTGACATCCACATCCTCATACAGCAGGCAGCCCTCTGCCACCACATCAGCCTCGACAATACCAGTGCTGGATTCCAGGAGGTCTGGAACTGGCTCACCTCATGGCTACCAGATGTGGGTGCTTAAGGATGGCGTATTTTGTATTTAATTATTTTGGCTGTTATTGCTTTTGTGTTATTTTTTGTGTGCCTACAATGGTATAGTATGTGCTGTTGGCAACTGCTAACCCTGCATCGCAGTTACTCAGCCCCGATATAGCTTACTGACATACAAAAGAAAAGGGGGGACTGTTAAGGAAAAGTTAGTATATGTGACTCCATTTTGGTTTGGGGCTCACCATTGTCTAAAAGCAAGCACATCATGCACCAGGAGGAGTGTTCCTTAGATACTGCATTCCTGTGAAAACCCTCCCCCTTGTTTCCTGTCTTGACTCCCGGTTTCTGTTCTGTGTCTGTTCCTAATTCCCTGCCTCCTGGCCTTGTGATGTGGGCCTCCCATCCTGATAAGAAAGGTTACTGATGCATTGCTTTAGGTCCATGTTGTGTAGTTGAAGTAATAGTTTAGCACGGGGAATGTATCTAGCAGGGAGAGGTGGTAGATAAGGAAAGAGTTTGTCTATTAGCTGAGGTTTCTGATGCACGAGGGTAACATGCTTTGCTAAAAGGTATATAAGCTTTGTATAACTTGCATTTGGGGTCCCCTTCTGACTAGCAGGGGGGCACCAAGCTCGAATGTAATAAACTTAATATCTTTCAAGTTATTTCCATTTAAAGACCCAACATAGTTTACAGGCAGGCTGCACCTCCCCCAGAAAATTACACTTCCTCATGTAGCATTCCTTTCCTATCCAGCTGCACCCATTCTGAACTAGCTGAGCTGCAAGTATCTGCCTGTAGCTGTATGTTGTAATAAGGGCAGCACAGCAGAGAATATTGTTTTCTCAACCCTTGTTAAGAGACTTGTCAGGGTTACCAGAGGGTCATATGCTTGGCAGATGGCTGGGGTCAGTATGCACTGACTCCAGCAGCTACTTTCAAACAGGGTTCCAGGATCCCATTTGGCCCTAAGCATCAACATCCTACACTTCCCCCTATATGGCTTCAGCTTAATACATGGTCAAAGTGGAAAACAGCTAAAGTTCTCTACACTACTAAGGAAGAGTTGAGTTGCTGGATAACTATCCTGAAGGGTGGGGGAGGGGCCGAGAGAGAAATGTGCGCAGAAGGGAGACAGCAGGAGTATAATAAGGCTTGAGCAGTACAAAGAATGTTTGTATTGGTAAACGGGTAAACACACCTCATTAGTGCAAACATTTTATTCCTTTAGGCAAAGTCCAACCATTTTCTGGGTTTGTTCCCAGGGCTAGACAGGATGAAGGGATATAACATATTGCACCACTATTACCATCACCAAAAGAACAGGTGCCCAATATCCACATCTCTTGTAGATTTAGAAGGAAATCAGATGGCAACAGGAAAGTCACTGTTAAGGCTCCGGTGGCAGGTGATGCAGTCACAAATTCCAGTCATTTTTGGCCTGAAATTAGAAATGATATAAGTAGAGATTACAGGTTCTTTTTGGAAGAGGCCAGTTTACCAAAAGAATACATGCCTAGAAGAGCTCTTAGATTTGATTTAAGAAGTCTAGTTACATTAGTGACATAAGTACTGCAGGATACTCCATGGAAGTGTAGCCGTCTTTGACTAAGAGATCTATTGTTCAAATCGTTAAGGAAAAAAACCAGTAGGGATTTTTCAGAATGAAGAGTTCAGGCAGATTGAGGATATGATTGGCTGACATAGTCCAGAGTGCAGCTTGTCAGGAATTTTCATGAACAGCTTGTCAGAAGAGGCTGATTTGTTGAAACCAAAACTTTTCATGGAAATGTATCAGTTTTGACAAGACATGCCTCAGTTCCATGATGAAATTTCTGGTCAAAAGAAAAGAGACCAGAATAACCAATAGCCCATTGGTTATTAGGGAGCTTACTTGGAAAGTGGGAAAACCAGATTCAAGTCCTGCCTAATTCTGAGCAGGGACTTGAATCTGGTTCTCCCACATCCCTGGGCTATTGGCTATTCTGGGATGGTCTCTCCTCCTCCTCCCCCCCCCCCACCTCCCCCCTTTTTTTGTTGGAGATATAAAAATCAAGTGTCAAAACTTCAACATTTTTCATTAAGTGGAATACTTGTTTTTTTGGCCAGCCCTAGTTCAGGGCAAGATAATTGCTTTCCTATCAGAGGGCAGAGAGTGTTGTAATGTGGCAAGCACATACGAAATTTCAAGAAAGCAGGAAAGCTAGTTGACCACATACTGGATAATTTCACATATGGAAAGTGCATATTTAGCAGAGGGTTATTTAGAGGCGCTGCATCTAAGTTACCAGTATTTGGGCAGTAAGCAGGGTATTGCATGATCATTAAGTTTACAGTAAAGTAAGGAGTGTTATTTCTATTTATCTGCTGGCCGAGATGCCATCCACTGAGCTCCATGAAGCACTAAAGACAAAGAAAGACTGAGTTTAATGAGTAGTTTAGTTAATGGGAACAGAAAACAGATCCAAGTTTAAATATTTGCATTACTTATATTTGCGTAGCAGCACTCCCAGTGACTCAAGTCACTATGCTAATGCTAGTGATGCCAGTACAGTACTGGGATTTCAGTTCTAATAAGGTGGATTCCCAGCGCTCTGTCCCATCCCTTTTAAAAAGTGATAGATAATACACAGCTCATGCTCACGCTCTCCTAGCAACAGTCACCGTGACTACGTTGTGCTGCACTGGCTAGCCTAGTGCTTTCTCCAGTCTGCAACCCTTGGGGGGGTGGTTCTTGTTTCAGCAGCAGCAGATCTGGTGCTTTGTAAATCTAGATATATAGGAAGTTCTGCACTAGGGTGGCTACCTCACATTTTCATAGGTTTGAGATTATGCTGAGTTTCTATAAAACCCATCAATGCTTTACCCACCTTTATCTTCCTACCCCCCAGTCAAGTGTGGCAAGTTAGGAAAGGCCACTTAATACTCCCCCCCTCCCCCAGGATTAGACTAAAATGAAGATCAATCCCTGCCCATACATGTTAGAGCCCCAAGATAAATAGCCATCTCTTAAAGGCCTTTTCATCCATAGGTGATGAAGCACTTTATAGAGGTGGTAAGTGTTGTGTCCATTCTATAGATGGGGAAATGGAGGCACAAAGAGGTGAAGTGACTTGGCTAAAGTCATTCAGCAGATCCCTGGTCCAGCCAGGACTAGAACCCAGGTTTACCAAGTCCCACTCTAGTACCCTGTCCACAGGATCACAAAGCTTTCCACTGACTTAATACTCCCATGTAGTTTTTCTGGTATTATGACAGACATCCTTCCAGCTAACTAAGCAATGCTGCCCGATTCATTTCCACAACCTTCTGCCTCTAGTTTCTGATATGAGACCAATATGAATCCCTTATAGATTTAATCCATCCCTGGCTATACAACATCCAAAGACCACTGGTGAGCGTGTTGCAGGTCCCCCTCTCTACTCAATCCATGGAGGATACAAGTCTGTTACAGCCCCAGCTAGACAGCCTTGACTATTTAACTTAAGTTGTATCAGCTCGTGCTTATAGCTCTGTAGGTCCCTGGTTCCAATTCCCTCCACGTATCAATCAAAATGGTGACCGCCACACTTGTATTACTACACAACACTGTCTTTTGGTTCTGTTTGTACAGCCCTAGCACAATGGGATCCTGGCCCATGACTAGGGTTCCAAGGCACTGGGAATACAAGACAGTATCATTTTAAAAAGTAGTGCCATCAGGTAACAAATATGGTAAATTAACAGACTGTGGGAACTTGCAATGGATCTCTTAGAGCACACATGATGATACCATGGCCCCATCTTCTCCATGGTTGTCAGTCAGGCTACATCTATCTCTACTCCAAAAGGAGCTTCTGCCCTGTGATGTAAAGAGTCTATTAGCTGCAGTAGTTTTCAGCAACCTATATCCTACACAGACCAGCTAGGAAAGGGTAAAACAGTCACACACTTGGGCAAGTGTAACATTCTCTCCGGTAGGGTAGTCAACTGGTAGGCAAGCTGTTGCAAGTAGAAAGAAACCATGAGCGGACCTGGGAATCAAACGCTGGTCCACTGCATCACAGCACTCACCATTATGATACTGAGTCAGGCATAAGCATTAAAACAAAACCCCAACCACCACAAGAATGCTTCTGTTTTTAACCTGAGAAACACAATGCTCCACCATTCTGCAGGAATGAATCTTCTTGAAATATATTTGGATATGGGCAAAAGTGGTGACATCATGTATTCACCTGGATCTGAAATAAGAGCTACCAATAACGTATCCTTGTGTGGTTCTGCATCCTCCTTATCCCTGCAAGCAGAGCGGACTTTGTATTATCCTCCACTAACCTTTCACAAAACAACCAGCAGGACATTTGCATTTGTGTTACAGAGTGAAACTGATGGTGTCCTGATTTTGTTTCCCTAGAAAGGTGCAGTAAGCACAGTACCAGTTACAGCTGAGTCAGAAGTAGCATTGATCTACCTGATGACATTCAAATTTCTTCTCTGATACAGGAACTGGTTCCTGGTGGTTCGAGTATGTTCCCCCTCACTTACCTTCATGTTACTATAGAGCACCAATTTGCGTTAGCTTTTGCGAGAGTTTTCCTTGCTCTTCTAAAGCAACCAGATCAGAATATCCACCAATGCAGACTTCTCCAATATACACACGGGGGACCTAGACGTGCACACAAATTACATTTGTTAGTCAGTGGCGAGGAAAAACAAGCTGTACAGCAGGATCTCTGAAGACATTAGGGCCCAGATTCACAATGTTACTTACATGTTACAAAGCCTAATCCCTAGATGCTCTGCCACCCAGTGGAATTCACAACCTTGCATTAGGTACCATCAATTTTATGGCGAGAACAGGAGTACTTGTGGCACCTTAGAGACTAACAAATTTATTAGAGCATAAGCTTTTGTGAGCTACAGCTCACTTCATCGGATGAGCTGTAGCTCACAAAAGCTTATGCTCTAACTTGATTATGTAAAGAGTTGTCACTTTGGATGGGCTAGCACCAGCAGGAGAGTGAATTTGTGTGGGGGGGTGGAGGGTGAGAAAACCTGGATTTGTGCTGGAAATGGCCCACCTGTTGATCACTTTAGATAAGCTATTACCAGCAGGACAGTGGGGTGGGAGGAGGTATTGTTTCATGATTTCTGTGTGTATATAAAGTCTGCTGCAGTTTCCACGGTAAACATCTGATGAAGTGAGCTGTGGCTCACGAAAGCTCATGCTCAAATAAATTGGTTAGTCTCTAAGGTGCCACAAGTACTCCTTTTCTTTTTAGTCTCTAAGGTGCCACAAATACTCCTGTTCTTTTTGTGGATACAGACTAACATGGCTGCTACTCTGAAACCTGTCATTATATATGGAGAGAGGTAGGCACAGCAAGTTGAGCAGGGGCCATCTAAGTTAGCCAGGAGTGAAATTCAGAGGAAAGGGGTGGAACTGAGGCTATTGGCTATTCTGCTCTGTTATCTTGTGAGAAAGATCTGACCTAGTTAGGCACCTCACTCCAGGAGAGGGTTCACAGCTGAAAATCCATGGCCCCCGCCCCTGGAAGCATCTCCCTCTGGCTGGTCAGTCCAGGCACCTAGGCTGGCTTCTTATCAGAATCCTTTCCTTAGGCATCTAACTCTTCCCATGTATTGTATGGAATGCCTGGGACAAGAACTTGGGGTTGTAAATTCCACTGAGCGACAGGAATCCTAGGATGTAGGTGTTGCAACACCTAACTTGCCTTTGTTAATCTAGCCCGAAGCTCTTAACTGGACCTTTGCCAAACCTCAAGAGGTTTGGTTTTAGGACTACAAAAAATAGTCAGGGTTGGGGAGAAGTGTGTCATCATTGACTCTACTTGCCCATCCCTATGAGATATCTGCAGATTGACAACTCAAAGGCAAATCTCTATGCCTGTCCAAGTGATTTTGACACCAAAATCTATTTTGTGTTCAAAACAGAACTATGTTTCCTGTGTAAAGCCTGAGTCAAATTATTTTTAACTTACTAGAACAGGCTGGCCTGCTACTATGCAAGTTGTTATCTGGGAGGAAATCTGTTTTCCAATCCTTGTGCAACTTTGTGAAATATAAAACTGAAGGGTCACAAGTGAGACTTGCATAACAATAAGAAAAGGAGTACTTGTGGCACCTTAGAGACTAACCAATTTATTTGAGCATAAGCTTTTGTGAGTACAGCTCACTTTATCGGATGCACTTTATGCATCCGATGAAGTGAGCTGTAGCTTACGAAAGCTTATGCTCAAATAAATTGGTTAGTCTCTAAGGTGCCACAAGTACTCCTTTTCTTTTTGCGAATACAGACTAACACGGCTGTTCCTCTGAAACCTTGCATAACAATGTGTGTCCTCTGTGCTGCAAATGAGGAAGTTGCTTCATAAGTAGTTGGGAAAACCTTCCACCAGGGGAATTCTAATTGCTTCACAAGTATTATGACTCACAATGAGGGCATTTTGAAGTAGATAATAGTATAGCTACTTTACTGCTACATAAATTGGGGCAATTCAGATAACCGCTCTGCCTAAAGCTATATATATATATATATATATATATAGAAAGAGTGGCAGAGCTGAGTCTAAAGCCCAAGACTTCTAGTCCTATGCTCAAACTACTAGACCATACTTTCACTTTGCTTGTGTTGTGAAAGGTTCTCTTGTGCACAGGTTTTCCATGGTGCTTATCACTATAGCGTCTATGTACATTAAGATTCCATGCCACTCTTACAGTGCAAGTGACAGGGCAAGAACAGTGTGTTCAGAGTGAGTTAATATTAGGCTTATTATGGATTGTGCCGAGCCTGCTGTGAAACTGGGGGAGCGTATCCATCATCTTCCATTTAGGATAGTTATAAGAAGCCGTTAAGCTCATTTATATTACCAGATAGCTGACACAATAGGACCACCACCCCAAACACATGCACTTAGCAAGGTTTGAGTAGGTTTCAGAGTAGAAGCTGAACTGTAAGGGTCAAAGGGTATCCCTGATGAATTGTACAGCAAATGCAGGGTCCAGAGCATTGACTGGATCGGAGCTGTGTTCATCTGGGTGTCTGACAGAAATAGCAGAAAGACCGGAAAAGCTGACAGAAGGCAGCAAGGAAAGCCAGACACAAAACACAGCCACAGAAGCACAGACAGCATGGCCCAGAGAAAAAGCCAACAGAGCTTGTTGACCCAGTACTGGCTGAAATAGATTTGGAGCTAGCAGTAGATAACCATATCTGGGTGTGTTCAGGGAAACAAAGTCTTTGTAAATAAACAGGGGATTGCATTGAACAAATAGCTGATTCCATCATCCATAACCTATCCTAAAGGATGACCCAACACTCTCACAAATCTTGGGAGACAGGCCAGTCCTTGACTACAGACAGCCCCGCAACCTGAAGCAAATACTCACCAACAACCACATACCACACAACAGAACCACTAACTCAGGAACTTATCCTTGCAACAAAGCCCGTTGCCAACTGCGCCCACATATCTATTCAGGGGACACCATCACAGGGCCTAATAACATCAGCCACACTATCAGAGGCTCGTTCACCTGCACATCCACCAATGTGATATATGCCATCATGTGCCAGCAATGCCCCTCTGCCATGTACATTGGTCAAACTGGACAGTCTCTACGTAAAAGAATAAATGGACACAAATCAGATGTCAAGAATTATAACATTCATAAACCAGTCGGAGAACACTTCAATCTCTCTGGTCACGCAATCACAGACATGAAGGTCGCTATCTTACAACAAAAAAACTTCAAATCCAGACTCCAGCGAGAAACTGCTGAATTGGAATTCATTTGCAAATTGGATACTATTAATTTAGGCTTAAATAGAGACTGGGAGTGGCTTAGTCATTATGCAAGGTAGCCTATTTCCCCTTGTTTTTTCCTACCCCCCCTCCCCCAGACGTTCTGGTTAAACTTGGATTTAAACTTGGAGAGTGGTCAGTTTGGATGAGCTATTGCCGGGGGGGGGGGGGGGAGGGAAGAGAGAGAGTGTGTGTGTGTGTGTGTCCAGAAAAAAAAAGGAGGGGGGGTGAGAAAGCCTGGATTTCTGCTGGACATGGCCCACCTTGATTACCATGCACATTGTAGGGAGAGTGGTCACTTTGGATGAGCTATTACCAGCAGGATAGTGAGTTTGTGTGTGTGGTTTTTGGAGGGAGGTGAGGGGTGAGAGAACCTGGATTTGTGCAGGAAATGGCCCACCTTGATTATCATGCACATTGTGAAGAGAGTTGTCACTTTGGATGGGCTATTACCAGCAGGAGAGTGAGTTTGTGTGTGTGGGGGGGGTGGAGGGTGTGAAAACCTGGATTTGTGCTGGAAATGGCCCAACTTGATGATCACTTTAGATAAGCTATTACCAGCAGGAGAGTGGGGTGGGAGGAGGTATTGTTTCATGATCTCTGTGTGTATATAATGTCTGCTGCAGTTTCCACGGTATGCATCCGATGAAGTGAGCTGTAGCTCACGAAAGCTCATGCTCAAATAAATTGGTTAGCCTCTAAGGTGCCACAAGTACTCCTTTTCTTTTTGCAAATACAGACTAACACGGCTGTTACTCTGAAACCATCATCTATGTGTCCTCCCAACAGAAACAATCCAAGGGATCACAACTTTTGGCTGTTTGGATCAATCAGGTTAATTGTATCTATGATGCCATAGACATAACAATGAGCACCTTCCAAATACATAGAAAGCCAGTAGGGAAGCTGAAAGGTTTGTATAAAATGTATCACACATCTTAATTAAACTAGTTACACAATAGCTCTGGAACAGAGCAAGACCCACAGAGACGAGCATAGTGAACCAAAGAGATCTAAAATACTACAGCACACAAGACAGAAATACTGCAGTTACTCTGAACATAGGAAGCCATTTTACAAGAGAACAAACAAAAGACACCACAAAGAACATTAAAAACCAATTAAACAGTATTGGGAGAAAAAAAGCCTTGGGCTGTATTTTATTTTCCCTTCTATTCCACCTAGCTAGACTGCAAATTCCTCAAGGGAGGGACCTGCCCTCTGCCTGCAGAGCCCCTAGCACACTGTTGCACAGTGCATAAATCAGAAAACTGTGACCACGATTAAGCAACTATCAAATATGAATAATTGAAAAACTTACTGTTCTTGCCCCTGTTGTCTGCTGGAAATAATCCTGAATGCCATCCATATCATCTTGGGTGGTGATGTCAATGAATTCTAGGTGGCCTTTCTTGAAGGAATATTTGTTGAGTAGTTTAATTGCATTACGGCAGTAAGGACAGGTTGGCTTTATAAAAACAGCCACTTTATCAGGTTTGATTTTGCTCTGCACAAACTCCCGAGTCATGTTTACAGTATTGCTTTCTAACACAAGGAGGAGTCAGGCAGCTCTATCCTTCAAGTAGAACAGAAACAGTAATAGCTAAAGCAGTAAGTGACTGTAGTTTTTGTAAGCTGCAAACTGCCTTCCTTATAGGGCCCCCACCCTGTAGGAGGAGTTTTCCTTCACTCAGTCTTGGATGTTAAAGAGATAATGAACCAAGTTTCTGGGCACTATTTTAGCAATTCCATAGTTGCAAACAGATGAATGGTTTTCAAATGTGAAGCAATTTGCCCATCAGCTGTTATTTCAGCATCTCTGAGTTGTGATATGAGAAAATTTATACAAATGGGCTACTCTGCAATGTTTCCTTATTAACTAATGCATGCAAAAAGGGTTAAACCTTAAGCCTTGCCTCTCTCGCCAGACTTGAGTTTGTGTGGTGGCTTGCCTGCTGCTGGTTTCAGCTGTACGGAAGGGTGGATATCTCTCTAATGCAGTTTTTCTCAACCTTTTTGTGCTGGTGACCCACTTTGGACTCCCCCCCACTAAGGAAAATTGTAATTCTGTACCTTATGTTTGGGGCTTCACCCCCTTGGTGCTCAGGACTTCAGTCCTGTGCAGCTTGGGCCTTCAGTCCTGCAGGGTGCGGGGTTTGGACTTCAGCCCCACATGGGGCACAGCACATAGGGCTTCAGCCCCACCAGGTTCAGGGCATCAGGCCCATGAGGCATGGGGAAACTGAGATACAGAGAGGCTAGGGGTCTTGCTCAAAGTCACACACTGAGTCAGTGACAGAAAAGAAATCCTAAATCCCAGTCCTGTGCTCTAACCTCTACTAGACCAAGGCAGTTTACTGAACATGGCCCCAATCCTGCAAACAGTTATGCACATAATTATATATATCTGAGAAATTCCATTGAAGTAACTGGGCCTATTCCCAGGCATAATATTAAACTTGTTTAGCTGTTTGCAGGCTTGGGGCCTAATACAGAAGAACGATAAATACAATTACGTCTTTTTAAATAACAAAAAGAAAACTCTCTCTTCCACTTGGTCTACCTGGTAATTCATGTGCAGGTTCTAAGACCCCTCCACTGCATTGAAAATCCCTAGGCTTATGTGTGTACCTGCACAGTTCTTAATACTGGGTCCAGACCTAGGAAGATCCATTTGTTTCTCTAGCTGTGAAGGGTTGGGATCGCTCAAATGGAAGCCTATAAAGATCTTAACTATAATTTTGACTGGTGGGTGATTATGTTATTTATTGATGGAAGGGATATGTGTGTGTGTGTGTTAACGGCAGTAATCTGCTTTTAATCATTCAATTTTTTACAACATGTCAAGATGAGCCTAGAATACAGACTAAGGGCCCCAATTCACGGAATGTTTATATAAATCAAAAGAAATAAATAAAAGTAAATAAAAAATACAGTTTAAGGGGGTGTATTGAGAGCTCTGTGCCAGATTGTGAACTGCTGGCTCCCACAGGTGAGCAGTTCCTCATGTGAGTAGTCTCACTAGGAACACTTGTGTAACTGCTCAGCGTCAGAATAAATGTTTCACAACCTGACCCATCTTAGACACAAATAGAGCTTTGGAAGGGAGGTACGGGGAGGAGTGGCTGCATCTGATACTGTATTGGCTTGGCCTTGTTGGGGACACTGGGGCATGGCCACTAGGTAACTCGAGGGGATGGAAGACCACGAGTGTCGATGAAGCCCCCTCGCACGAGGCCCCGGTGTCCTTGGCCCCCCCTCCTGCCTGGAGGCACTCGCAGCAGCTCTGCGTACTAGGCCCAAGTGTCCTTGGCCCCCCCGCCTGGAGGCACACACAGCAGTTATGCTGAGAATCTGCAACAGTATGTTGCAGAGTCAGACTGCCTGAAACTAAGCAAGGCCAAACAGGGGAGATATGAAAGAACAATGCTGAATAAAGCAGCTTTATGTATAGTTTAACAAATGATACAGAGAATCAGGGAACTAGCTGGGAACTGGATTGGCTGGCTATATGGATACTTGGGGCAGCTTGCTATTGGATAAGTATGCTGAGAAAAAGGATGTATAAAAGCCTGTGTAACTTCCTGCTCTGTTGTGCAGGATTTGAGATTTTATTCTCCCTGTACCTTTTTGCAGCTGCAAATAAACTTTTCTGCTTCTCCACCCCGTTGTGATTATTGGGTGTCGCACACCGGGTAATGAACCACTCAAGCTGTTGTTCAGCCTCTCGGCACTGGGTGCCGGCAACAGCTTTTGGCGTCCCTGGGTGGGCGACGAGGCTGCAATTTAGTCTTGCCCGGACCCCTCCTGGAGGTCGAGGATTGCGGCGAGAACCGACGCCCAGCGCGCACCGGTGAGTTCATTGGGGGCCTCGGAGGAGACGCGATTTGATCGACCCCGGAGGGCACAACGCACTCATATAGTGGAGAAGCAGTTGTGGACGGCGGTGAAGAACCGGTCCCTTAGACATGCGGGAGGAGCAGCTGCAGGCCACGGTGAAGAACCGGTCCCTTGGATAAGGTAGGAACCTTTTAAAATCCGGATTATATGCTCTGTTGGAACCTGGGGACGCCCAGAGTTACCCTGTAGGTATGGGACAGGGACAGAGCTCGGAGGTTAGGGCACAGTGTACGCCCCTAGAGTGCATTCTAGCAAACTGGAAGGTATTTGGTGCGGATCCGATGACTAAGAGCCAATTAAAATGATTCTGTACAGTTGACTGGCCTCAATATCAACTAGAGGACCAGGAGTGGTGGCCACCAGGAGGGTCAATTAATTACAACACGATCCTTCAGTTACTCCTGTTCTGTCAGAGAACAAGGAAATGGAATGAACATATGTATGCGCATTTGTTTCTGACTTTATGTACTCGACCAGATATTTTACAGCGCTGTAATCTGACTCCGACTGGTTCGGTAGTAGCTAATGTTAGTCCCCAGACCCCCACCTCCACTGTAATGGCAGAGCCGGTGTCCCCTTCGGCCCCCACACCCCCACCTTATAAGGGTAGGATGCCTCGGGTTACAGAGATTGCCCCCTCGGTGGGACTCTATCCTTTGCTTACCGAGACTGTTGTGGCTTGCCCAGGGGCAGATGGACGTCAGGCTACCACTATGCAAGTTTAAACCCATGTGCCATTCAATCCAATAGACTTAGCAGCTTTTAAAACACAGGCTGGGGAATTCTCAACGAACCCAAACAGGTTTATTTCAGTCTTTGAGGGGTGCCTCAGTAGTCACAAGCCGATTGAGAGGACTGTAATATCCTCCGGAGAACCTTGTTGTCTGAGGTGGAGAGGGATCAGGTTACAGCTAAGGCAAGGGGAGCGTCAGCGTTCAAGCAAAAAAAAAAAAAAAAGAAAGGAATCTATCTGTCAAGTTCCTCTCCAAATAATTGTAAGCGGCTCAGGGCATTTCTGGGTATGGCAGGCTTTTGCAGGATATGGATCCCAGAGTTTGGACTGTGGGCTAAATCCCTGTACGACTGTGTAAAAGGAGTGGATCTACCCCTTCTGGACCCCAGAGGCTGATAGGGCATTTAAAATCCTGAAAAGAAAATTGATGGAAGCCCCAGCTCTGGACCTGCCGGATCTTTCTAAGCCATTTCAGTTGTATGTACATGAACGAAGGGGGGTGGCCCTAGGAGTGCTCACACAGCTGTTAGGAGCATGGAGACGTGGCTTATTTTTCTAAGCAATTGGATCAGGTTGCAAAGGGTTGGCCGGCATGTTTACGGGCGGTCGCAGCTACTGCCCTAGTGCTTGAGGAAGCAAAGAAGCTAACATTGGGAGGGGTTATGCAAATCTATACTCCCCATATGGTCCAAGCCTTATTGGATGCAAAGGGAGGGCTTTGGCTCACCCAGGCTCGGATTGCTCGGTACCAGGCTAAGCTGTTAGAGAACTCTGAAGTCACCTTACAGCCTTGCCCCTCCCTTAACCCAGCCACCCTCTTGCCAGAAACAGAGGAACAGAAACATGACTGTTTAGAGATCATAGATGCCCAGTACTCCAGCCGTCCGGATTTAAAGGATGTACCTCTCCCAAATGCAGATTATGAGTGGTACACTGATGGTAGCAGTACTGTAATAGATGGGCAAAGGAGGGCGGGTTATGCTGTTGTGACCCTCCATGACACTGTGGAAGCTGAAGGTTTGCCTGCTGGGACCTCTGCCCAGCTTGCCGAACTAATAGCCCTGACCCGTGCACTTGAACTGTCAAAAGGAAAGCGGGTCAACATTTTTACTGATTCAAAGTATGCTTTTGGTGTGCTGCATGCTCATGCTGGCCTATGGAAGCAAAGGGGAATGCTGACAGCCCAAGGCTCCCCAGTCAAGTATGGGCCCCAAATCCTCCGGCTCCTAGAAGCCGTACAACTCCCCTCAGAAGTGGCGGTGGTACACTGTAAAGCCCATCAAAGGGAGGATCAAGATGTGGCCAGAGGTAACGCTTGGGCAGATAGAGAGGCTAAGCATGCTGCCACCCTGCCATCCCCTCAGACTGAGAATGCCCATATGCATGCCCTTATCCCATCAGTAGGGGAGCTTCCAACCCCTCAGTACTCTGGGGAGGAGAGACAGCTAACTGACAAACTCAGTCTCCGGGAAAAGGAGGGATGGCTCCATTCCCCAGAAGGGAAGGTCCTCTTACCAAAGGGCCCAATCCGGCCAGTGCTTCAGAAACTACATCAAACCACTCATGCTGGCAGGGAAGCACTTATCCAGCTAATGGGAAAATACTTTATCACTTCCGGACTCCGACCCCTGGCTGCCCAGGTACAAGCAGACTGCTTAGTCTGCCAAAAGAATAACCCCCGACCGGGACATCCTGTGCCACCAGCTGCCCTAGAACCCACTCCGGGCCCCGGACAAGTGTGGCAAATAGACTTTACTGAGTTTCCCCGGACCCAAGGGTTCAAATATCTCCTTGTCATAGTGGGTAGGTTCAGTGGATGGCCAGAAGCCTTCCCATGCCGTAACTGCACTGCCAGAACAGTGGCCCTCAGTTAGGGAAATCGTTCCTCGCTTTGGACTCCCCCTGTGGATGAAATCTGACAACGGGACACATTACACGTCAAAAATCATTCAAAGCATCTCACATTCCTTACAGATCCCCTGGAAACTCCATACGCCCTGGAGACCGCAAGCCAGTGGTGTAG